ACACCAAACTGCCAATTTCAATTTCGTTCAATGAGGTTTAGTGGTCTACACCATGTAATGAACACCCCTAATAAGGAGACTGACATGGGCAACTACATTTTACAATATATAGTATTGGTAAGTGGAGAACTTTGAGGCATGGGTTCCCTCGGGTCCTCTCCCCTCTCTTTCTCTTTGCCCCTCCTATCTAATGTACTTTGAAAAATCTATTGCTTGAAGCTTGATCCAACATCCCATCCTATTATTGGATGTGGATTTGACCCCATATCGGATAAAAAATTTAAATCCAAGGTAGGATTCAAATTTTTACCATATATAATATTTTATATTGGTATATATTTTTTTATGTATGTATAAATTCACCATATGAGATTGGATTCATAACAAGGTAGGGATTGGGGAGGATGTCACCCATAAGTTGGGAAAAATGGATGGCTACATTTGGACTTTTGTGTGATAAGAGAATACCATTTAAATTAAAATAAAAATTCTACAAATCAGTTGTAACGTCATGTATATTGTATGGAGCAAAGTGTTGGACAATTAAGAAACAATATTGATGGGGGTGATTTGGTCCGACCTCGTAGCACGGGTATACGTGGGCGTGACCTTGATTAAATAGTGACTCAGCATAACAATGCAACGGACGTGACCACAACTCGGAGGGAAAGTCCCACCGAGTTCAGCTCGGCAACTGGGCGGGTAAACTATTCGCTGGAAGCCGCCTTACCCGCACCTCCTCCCTGGGGTTAAGGCACTTCGGGGCGTCCCAAGTTCGGGGCACCCTGACCTCTCTTAAGGCCCGAGCTCCTCCCAATGGACCTCGGGCCACTCCCAGACAGGAACGCACCGATCCATCTCTGGACACCCTGCGGCATAGACACCTCAAGTCAGCTAGCTCGGCATAACTTGCTACAGGCAGCTCGTCACTAAAGAGATAGCCCAGCTCAGGGTAATTCGCAGAAGGGTAGTTCGGTATACCACAAGAAGGCTTCCTGCTCGATCACCGTACCCGACAAATCTGTGGATAGCAGACATGTCCCTCGTCAGCTAGCGCCACGCCTGTCACCTTTAGAAAGGTGTCTCGCACCTGACAAGCACGTACCCTACAACAACGGCCCCGCGCGTGCCACCTCAACCTTGCCTGTAATGGCTGTGGCAGACTGACAGTGGCGGTTATACCTGTCCTGTCAGAAGCGAGAGGGCCTGAAGCAATGAAATTCTGTTATAAGGGGTTTATTCTCAAGGAACAAGGTATCTTCGAATCACCTGCGCAATCTACACTCTTAGCCTTTGTTTTCCCTTTGCTTCTTGCACAGAATACTGACTTAATCATCAGAGTGTTCCCGCCAGGCAAACCCCCGGGAGTTCTTATTCTTTCCTCTCGTCTCAGGTACCTCTCAGGAGCTACGCGAGTGCCAGATAGGAGTGACCGGATCATGCTACATCAAATATGTTCAAAAAAATGAGAGCGATAGAAATGCAAATGCTAAGATGGATGAGTGGAAAAACTAGAAAGGATAGGATAAAAAATGAAGTCATCTATAGAAACCCAAGAATAACTCTAATACGTGATAAAATGAGAGAATAGATTAAGATGATTCACCAATAGCTCTGGTTAGCATAACTGATTTGTTACAAGTAGAATAAAGGGTAGACCAAAACGGACATGGATAGAAGTTGTGCAAAATGATTTAAGCACTAATAATTTAATAGTGGATATGAATTTAAATATAATGGATTGGTGAAACATGACTCATATAGCCGACCCTATATGGTTGGGATAAGGTATAGATGATAATGATGATGTAGTTGTATCCAATCTAAATCCGATTCAATTACAACCCCACTTAAACCACAAAGACAACAAGATCAACTTTTAGTACTCACACTCAATGTGCAAATTGCCAAACTAAAGGTCTAGAAGTTTGAGAATCAAATTATCTATGATAGTGCAAGCAATGTCAATCGCAAGAGATCTAATAGGGAAAAATTTTGAATACACTTATGGTGGAATAACTAATATATCCATGCACATGTTATGGATATTAAAATAAATTCCAAAAAAAATACATCAATAATATTGAGTCTTGAGTTTTAAACAATTATATGAAGTATACATACATGAGAAACATAAATGTGAACTACTATAACACATTTAAGAATTACTGGAAAATGGTAAAAAAACAAAAAGTATCAATGCATATCTTAATTATTAGTAAACAAATATAATTCTTGTTAATATGAATAAATATATAAATTTTAATAATGAATTAATTTTTTAATTTTCTTTTTTTTGGGTGGAGGGGGATGTACAAGGGTTAAATTTTAAGCCCATAAAATATGACAAGTAAATGAAGTATGGTGCAGTGGACTTATTATCTTTGAACTTACATAAGAGAACATTGACAGTACTGTAAAAAGAAATGATCTATTGCAATTTGAAGGAGCAACAAAGACTAGGGGTAAACCAACAAGACATTGGCTAAAGTAGTACAAATGATTTAACAGCTCATAATTTAAGAATGGATATGGCATTAAATAGAAAGAAATGGCATAATAGGATTCATGTAACCAACCAATAGTTTGGATAAGATTTGGATGGTGATGATGACAATTTTATACAATAAAAGCTTTGAGATCAGGCCATATTAGGTCACATTGGGCTGTAAAGTCAATAATGACCATTGACTGATGAGTATGGACCAATACAATGAATTTATGTGGTCGCTTGTTTTTTGGTAAATAGGGGCAAATTAGTTGGTGGGTTCCACAAAAAAGAAAGAAGGGATTATAGCAGTTAAGGGCAACTTTTGGTCTTTAATTTTAATAAAAATAATATATTTAAAAATTTTAAAAATAGGTTAACTTTTTAAAAATAATAGTAGTTAAGGACAAAAACACTGTTCATCTTTTTCCTCTTGCAATCTATTTATCAGTGCCGCCGTCCGCCACCACCTCCGGCAACGCCTCCGCCTATCTCTGCCACCTCTACCTCTGCCTCCGGCAACATTACCAGAGGTGGGTAGAGGCAAAGGCGGTGGCAGCAATGTTGGTGGTCATTTCTCTACTCAATGCCACCACCTCTGCCTTTGTCTCTGGCAATGTTGCCAGAGGTGGGCGGAGATAGAGGCAGCAACGACAATATTGGTGGTCATTCTCTACCCTATGCCACCACCTCCGCCCACCAACACCGCCATCGCCTCTGTCTCCACCCACCTCTGGCAGTGTTGTCGAAGACGGAAGCGGAGGTGGAGGTGGCAGAGGCATTGTCGGAGGTGGTGGCGGGCGGCGGCGAACGATGGCGCCGGGAAAGAAGATGAACAATGTTTTTTCCCTTAACTGATATTATTTTTAAAAAGTTAACCCATTTCTGAAAATTTTTTAAATATATTACTTTTATTAATATTAAGAAGCAAAAGTTGCTCTCAACTGCTATAAACAATTCCCGAGTGACTAATTTACTTAGATATATAATACCCTCCTAAGATAGGTAAATAACTTTCATGTCCACACAAACAATTGGTGACAATTGATGATACAACAATGTCCTTTTAATAATGATTATTTTATAAATATAATGGTTATTATATAATTTGACCAAAAAATGAAAAAACATTAATAAATGCACTTATCAGAATAATTATTTTTAATAAAATATTTATTTACCCAACTAAATGAACTATCGAAAAATTAACTTAGGCCTAGAATGAAATGAAGTTTCGGATATTCCAAAAGAAAAGGAGCGTGACATGAAAAATCTGCATGGAACTATGGCCCACCATTTTTTAAGCGGGATATTTTTTAATTGAATTAAACCATAACTGACTAAGCTGTCTAGCCCATATCAATACCCGCCATATCAAAGATTCTATTTAAGTAGGGGATTGATTTAAAAAAAAAAAAAAGAAAGTAGGGGATTGTTAAGATGTATCATACCTACAAGGAATTCTAGCCCATCCAAACCATGTGAGGTCCCACACCCACAGTCAGATCCCATGTTTCCAAGTATCCGACTCATTACATGTAGATGTATAGGCTGTAGCCACAGGACTTTTGTATACATGCACGAGGCAACTTCCCAAATCCTCTACGGTTATCAGAAGATAACGGACCAATGGTGATATGAATAAATATTGACCTAGTATGAAGAGTTTTTTTTTTTTTTTTGACCCAGCATCACAAATGAAACTAAAATTATAAAACAAAATCTCTATTATTAACTTGACACCGCTTTTTGGGCAAGCCAATCAGTTGCTTGATTTGCTTCCTGGTATGTATGTTTGAAACTGATGTTTAAGTTGAAGAAATCAATAAGTTTGAGATACTCTTTGATAATGCATTTCAATCTCCAGGGAAGAATCAATCTACCATTGAGACAGTTAATGACAATCTTATAATCTCCTTCGATGGTGATCCGTTGGTTCTTGTAGTTGATCGCTACGTTTATAGCTTCCTAAGCCGTCCATGCTTCAGTAAGGTTAATCGTCATTGATCCAATCCTAAGGGCCTTAGTTTCAAGAACTTTGCCCTGATGATTCCTAGCAATGCATCCAATGGCACAACTTTCAGTATTAGAACCATAGATTTTAAAAACGAACTGATGATTGAACTAGTTAGAGGTCCGATTAACTGGCTGGTTCAGCAGTTTACTGATCAAAATTAACGATTTTGAGGAAAAAAATAGTTTTAGAGGAAAGTGGAACCAGTCAGATCCCAGTTTTTCTGATCCAACTGTTCGGTCCGGTCAAATTTTAAAAAACAGTGATTAGAACATGTAGCATCAAAGTTTATTTTGATGCAGTAGAATTTAGGTTTAAGCCACTCAACTTGCTTCCACGACTTAACCAATACTGGTTCAAATCTCAAAATGATTTCTTTAATTTCGTTTCAGTATTAATGATTATTTCGGAATTACTGGACTTACCACCAAAGCATTTTTCACTTCTGTTCTTCCATATGGCCCAGTATGAGTTGAACTGTAGAGTGTAGACGATTAGTGTTAGGAATCATCACTTTTATTAACCAATGAAACAATATATGAGATGCTGAAATGCAGCGTGTGCAAAACCAACGAGGTGGATGTGGATCCCACCATTCACTTAAAATCGGACGGTGAACGAGTATACACTTTCACGCGAATAAATAAAAATGAAAAAACAAAAATATCTTGATGTAATTTTTATAGCCTGGACGTGAAGCCAATGCGAGACTACGGTATCATAGATATTCACAGGGGGTAAATTTGAAATGTTGAACGGCAATACGGCATTCTGATGGTGCTGCTCGTGCTCGTTTACGCTGAATTGCTACACTCCGCCCTCCCGAATCCAACTTTACGGTTAGCAAGATCGAATTCTACCCATAGATTTTGCTGATGAACGTTCCCAATTATACTGCTCTCCACGCCCAGCAATTCTGACCGTCCGATGCTCAAGCAATGGACCCCACGGCCAACACCAGCCAAAACTCTCTCCTTCTCCACAAGAATCTCGACCCCTTTTCCCATTTCCAACACTATCCCTCCTATCGACTGTCTGATCAGTACCGGATCGCCGTTAAAACATAAATCCAACGCTCCACCGTACACGTATCCTTTCTTCACCTTGGACGGTCCCACCAATCTCACAACCTCCTCCCTCACCTTAGCATAAGCGTCCTCAACCAAAAACGTGTACTCCGTGCCGGAATCGATTATCGTCTGACCGGCTCCGCTGGGATTCGGCCGGAAAACCGATCGCGAAATGTTCAGTCTTTTCCCGCCAATTCGTATCCCCTCCATCACAACCGTATACGCCGCCCCATCAAGATTTGGCATCTGCTGACTTTGACTTTGGTTGAAGGTCAAAAGGTCAACGTACCGGAATCCGCCGGAATATGGGTTCTCACCAAGATAAAATGCTCCTACCGGCGGAACCTTCATCTGGTTCCGGCGAACCGGAACGCAATACGAGAACTTCGAAATCCTGGCCTGTGAAGCAAATGACAGCCGGCCGAGATTCATCCCCAGAATACCCTCCGCGGCGCCGGCGTCCTGACCACAGCCGAGGATCAAAGGAGGGGTGCTCTGCGATCTGGCAAATGTGATTTTTTCTCGGACGAGATTGCCCTCGGCCAAGGTGCCGTCGGCGTAGAAGTAAGAATAGTGGCACAGGCGGTTCTGATCGCAATCCGTTGGGAGAGTAAAATCGGGAATCCTGGGCTTGCAGAGAGGGTGGTTGCAGGGAAGAACAGAGAATGATGAAGACATGGAAGGATTAAACGGAGGAGGTTTTGCAAGGGTTTTGTTGTGGCATTGGATCCATGATAACTGGCTTCCGGTATCCAACACCATTGGTTGGCTCTGTGGTGGAGTCCCGATTGGGAGAGAAACGATCAGAGCGACTGAATACTTGAATGAAGATTTGTAAGCTGATTGGTTGTTCTTCGAACCAGTGCTTGAGTTGGGGTTCCGGCTGGTTGATGAAACGAGTGAGGGAAGGAGAGTTGCAGCAGAGGCAGGGCGAGAAATGCGGCGAGATGTAAGAGGGAACGAGAAAGAATACTTTGAGGGTTTAAAGTTGTTGGAGTTCTGGATTCCTTCGATTGAGAGGGAGAGAGAAGAGATGGTGAGAAAGAGAATCAGGAGAGAGTTGGAGACAGCCATTAGAGCCAGAGCCAGAGAGAGAGAGAAAAGTGAGGAGAGAGATTGATTCGTGGGCTTCAATTTATACAGCGTTTCCATGGGCATAAACAGAGAGAGAACAAAAAACGCCAAAAAAGATAAACGCGTTTTTGAATTAAGCGTTAATTACTTTAATTTTGTTACGTGAGGATTTGTGCTTTGTTTGCTATGCAATTTCTTTTGTATGGAGTGCGAATGAGTTGAATGCAAGGTGTGATTTATTTATTTTTGTTTTTTTTTCAGTGTAAATGAAGAAAATAAAACTTAAGGTGGAATAACATAAAATCCGAAGTAAAAGTATGCTTCCTTGCATTTGTTTTAGTGCAAAATAAATTACTTGCAAACAAAGAGAGCTAGTTTTTTTTTTTTTTTGATAAAAAAATAAGATATAAGACCAACTTACTAATGATAGAATATAAACTTTAAGTACATATAAGCATAATTCATAAACATTTGAATCAAATCGGATGAGATTTTAAATATTCAGAATGAGGTCTATCCACGTACTTCTAATTATAGACAAATGGAATTCAAATCACCCTTAACATGATTGAATTGTAATTATAAAGGGATGCTATTTGCACTTTTGCAGCCCTAGATGGAGCGGTTGATATTAGTTTAAGGGGATGTTTGATTCTGCCGGTGTTTATTGAAAAAATGTTGTTACATGAAATAATTATTTGGTTTTACGGTTTATTAAATAAAATGATAGAAAATTAAAACACTTTGATTTTTGTGCATGGGGCATTGGGGGAAACAAGAATTTGATGTTTCCTCAAATGCCCCAACACTTTGGAAACCAAATGCTGATGTGACACACTTTAATAGGTATTAATGGGAGAATAAAAAACATTTAAAGTAGAATTCAACCAAACAAAAAAACAGGAAATGTTTAAAGTAAAAAAACATTTAAAATGAAAAAGTATAAATAAACGTTTAAAGTGAAAATGTGCAAATAAACGCTCTATCCATAAATGCCCACAGAACCAAATACATACTAAGGGGATGTTTGGAAGCGTGGGCATTTTTCTGAACAATGGTGCCACGTTGGATCCATGTAGGCGATTCCACAAACAACCGCCTACATGACTGTTTGGTTCAAGCATTTTTTTTTAAATGCTGAAAAACGGGCATGCATCGTAAATCACATCCCAACCGTTGCATGAAACATCAAATTTGACGTTTCATGCATCAGTGAATCGTTTCCCCCATCAGTTGAATGATGTGGTGCTTACATGTATGTGCACATACATAAAAAAATGGTGATGAAAATCACCTTACCAAACATCAAGAAATACTATCAAAATATATAAAAGGTGTTTTTTTTTTTGTAAAAAACAGGTCTAACAAACATGGACGTTTTTTTTCTTTTTGAAAATCGATCCAAAAAACGCCCACGCTTCCAAACACCATCTAAGTTACGAAGAAAGAGCTTTTTATTTGTGGGAATATCCTTGACTGTTCACTAACCATTTCTTTGCACAGTTCAAGTTGAGAAAAAGAAAATAGATTGGGCTGGTATGATTATTATGGGTGTTTCTCAAGCGACCCTGACTGAATTTGTGGCTTGTTGGGGCTGGGGGACAACTGGCTTTTCCATTGGTGCAAAGGAAGGAAATTATTTTTGGTTAAAAGAAATAAAATCATGAATACTGGCCAAACACCCCTTCATTTGTTTTGTATGGTTGTGTTTTTTATATTTTCATCCATTCAATTCAGGTTTTCAATGGCAAAAATTGAAAAACGAAAATAAAAATCAGATTCCAGGGGATTTAGCGGGAGAAGCCCAAAGCTGTTGCATTTGATTTAGCTTCCATTTGGGAGGGTTTTTATTATATGTACCTGTTTTTTGCATTACAGGGTGGGCCTCACATAGAAAACTTAGAAGCTATGTTTTTCTAATGAATCAATTTTTCCGTGAAATTAATTTTAATAGCTTTTTTAAAATGACTCAATTAACACAGCTCAATCAAAGCAAAAGCCTTCCGAGACAGGCTCTTAATTGTCCAATGAACCTCTCCACCTTTTGCACGGGAAACTTCAAAGAAGATAGCATTAATTCGATAATATTAAGAGGCTATATCAGCTGGGCACTCTTACGGTTTTGAAATTATGACAAAATGGGGAAGCACAATAGGATCTACTTCATTACTTGCTAATGGGATTTCGTCTGTTGCTACTGCTCCGGTGGAAACACCTGTGGTAGAGCCATACCCATAAAATATTAAAGGTTCTACTTGTTGTGGAAGCTTCACTCATTTCATTATCGATCACCTGTTTGTTTTTCAGGAATTTATTTATTCATGTTTCTTTATTTTCCAAGCAAATAAGATATTGTTTTAGTCATAAAAAAAAGCTATTAAAAGGAGTAATTTTGTCTTATCAAAGTGTTGGCAATTTCCCTAGGTGAAAAAGTTACTATTCATATAGGAGATGGGTTTTACTTGCACAGCTAGGTGATATCGGAAAATGAATGTTTCATAAATCCTACATAAATCTGAAAAAATAATATGGGTATCTGGTCAATGGGAACCAAAATCCCATTGACCAATTTTCCCTCCTCCCAAGATTTGAAAAACGAACGGGGCCCTAAGATGAAAAATTAGCTTGGGTTCTGTTGGTTCTATTACGAAGGAAATTAAAATCAATTGGTATATTTTGCTTTCGACTCTATAAAAAAATTGAATGGAATACAAACTTTGCATCCGGTCTAGTTTTGCATCCATTTGTTTGTAACTATTATTTGTACTTCTGTTTTATACAATCTATAATTTGTCTCATTTGCACTCATTAGCAATGCAAATATTATATTTCAAAAACTGATACAAAATTTACACCATCTTCCCCCCAAACTTAATTCTCTCTCATATAAAGTGAAGACCAGATCATCTTACTTCCTACACCACTCTCAAACAAATAATCCTCTCATACCTCCCTTTTCTTTGATGTAAAGTGGGGATTACTTCATTTTACTTTTCACAAACAAACAAGATAAAGTTGAATCTAAAGCAAAAGTAAACCAAAATTTATAGTCAACTTATTTGCACTCCTATGCATTTACACCGATGCATGTGAAGGAAATATGCATTGCAAACAAACTACACCTTAATATCTTATTGCCGCTAGAAAGTCAGTTCTAGGGCTGCAAATGGTATTGGTTCATACAAGTGCAAAATTTAAACTTGATCTAGACAAGAATGACACGAATGAGATCCATTTGTAATTGGATTGACATCAATTTTGGATCTAATAATATTTAAATATACATGCTTTAAATGCTTGTATCTACATAAACCTTATATTATTTCCATTAGGGAAGTCTGAGTGTTGTCTATTTACTAAGGGCCCATTTGATTTGCAGGAATGGAGGTCTGGAATTGGAATTGGAATGGGCCATTCGGATTCCAACTGTTTGATCGGCAAGAATCAGAATCTCATTCTCATTCCTAATGGAATGGCATTCCTACATTTGAGGGAATGGTCATTCCCTCCTCTTGGGAATGAAATCCCATTCCATCTGATTCCAGTTCCCATTCTGGTTCTTGTATGAATCAAACGGACTATAAAAATAGACCATTTAGATTCTAATTCTGATTCTGTAAACTAAATGGACCCTAAAAGTCTAAGGGTCCCTACATTTGAGAGACCCACATTTAGATTCGATTAAGAATTGGAATGATCTATTCCCTTAATCTATTTGGTTCAAACAGTAAAGGGAATGAGAATTAAAATCAATAGGAATGAGATTTCATTCCCAACGGAGGGAGAGGAAATGGTCATTCCCTCAAATGTGAAAATATCATTCTACCGGAAATGGAAATGAGATTCCAATTCTGCCCAACCAAATAATTGGAATGGGAATTTAGCCCATTCCAATTCCAATTCCAGACTCTTATTCCCGTGAACTAAATGGGGCCTAAGAGTTATAGGTTCAAGTCTTGTAAAAGTTATTTCAATTAATTTTATTCAAATACTCACAAGAAAAATCATTTTATTAATGAAATGAATATCAAATTCACTTCATTTAGTTAATGACACATAATATTTTGATCGATTTTAGTTTAATTAATTAATGGGATTCAATATCTCAATCCAATTGAGACTGGATTGAAATCACGGGTATTAACAAATGAATTTGGGATCTAGATATTTCCATTTTAATACAATCCCTTTACAGCCCTAATAAGCTCTCTTGCTACTCAAATTTACAACAAGGAAGAGAGTTAAGAAGACCTAGGGCTCTAGTGATTATAGAAAAATTGTTAAAAACCCTAGAGTTCTATATTTAGGGTGGAGTATTTAACACTCAAGTCAGATGAGATGGACAAAAAAGATTGGGCAGCCAAGTTAATAGAGTAGTAGAGTACGAATGAATTGAGGTGGCCTCATGTGTCGTACCTTGGGTCAGGGGCTCTTATATAAGGAGGAGATTTAGCAAAGGAGTAACGGTCTCATTTGTCAATTTAGGTATCCTTATCCAAAATGGCCCTTTCAGTTTTAAATGCGTGCACGTCTTTGGCTTTGCCTTGAGTTTGGATCTTCTTCCCAAAAAATGCTCCTCACACCGACCTCACAGCACGTACCTGATATACATTAGAAACATCTTCCATAGTTTTAATTATAGAAGATGTTTCCAATACAAAATGGAATATGGATATGAGATCCGTATGAGGAGCAGATCCCAATTCTTTTACCTTATTAGTTATGTTAATAAGTTTCTTGAATTCACATCTGTGCCCCACAGCATATCCCAACTGTGTATTGAGAACATCTCCTATTGATAACTTTGGGAGATGTTCCTAATGTATGCTGAGATGTGCATGTGGGGCGTTTGTTGGACACAGATGTGATCTCAAATTTCCTACGTTGCCCATTATTTGTGCCACATGGCACCTTTCTGACTGACAGTTAATACTTCAATGAATCAAATTCCATAGTTTCTTACATGAAAAGGTGGTGTTCATTTTTTTAAGTGTTGTGAATTGTATATTAATCCTTTCTTTTAGGGTGTGTTTGTTTTTTGGATTTTGAGAGGGGGAAACTTGATCAATGGGATTTTGGTTTCCATTGACCAAAAAATTCATGTTCTATTTTCAGATTTATGTGGGGGATTAGGAAAATTTTATTTTTCTGATTGTAAGTGATATCCATCTCCTAGATGGATAAATAACTTTCCTACCTGGGGAAATAAAAGAATATGAGTAAATGCACTTACCCATATTGAAATGCATTTACCCAGGTAAGTAATTTATCGAAAAACGAACGGGGCCTTAAATTGTTAACCATTAACTCTGGAGTCGGGGTATGCTAGGAACATGTGGTAGCTGCAATGAAATATCTAAGCAATCATGTAAAGAAGACACTTCAATAAGTTCAATTTTTTGGAGGTCCAAATAGGAAACTGGATAGAAGAAGAGATGGGTATATTTGAATTAAGTCAAGTGTAAATCAGTAATATTAAAGGTGTACGTGAAATTGGGAGTGAATGATCTTAATAGTCATGTAGGGAAGTTTGGGTAAGTAGTCATCATCATCTAAAATCATGTTTTGCCATTCCATTATCATCAATGCCACATTCATCATTAAATTATGGGTGCTTAAATTATTTCTTATTACTTTCATCCAAATTCTTTTTAGGTATGACAGGTGTTGTAGATTGTCTTCTATGTCCGTGACCAAATCATCTCAATCTGCTTTTTTTTTTTCATTATATCACCTCTTAGTAGTTCTTTTGTATGACTTCCAAGTGTTCAATAGTCACTTGAGTGGTTGTCAACTATGATCATCTTCTATCTTGTTGAGTGGTAGTGTGATAAATCAAGAGTAGTGTTGCATAGTGGGAGAAGTGTAGGAAAAAAGGAAAAAACACGAAACATTATGTTGCAACAGTTTTGGAATAATAATGTTGCTAAGAGAGCATGAAAGGGAGGGAGAAGGAAGAAAATTGGATAGAGAAAAAGGGTTGACTATATACTGGGAAGACATTATACTGTAAATACTTATAACCAGCCAATTTGTATCATAAGTTTATAATAATAACAATAGTAGTCAATCAGGTGGGTTTTCATCAAAATTTATGATGGGGTGATTGACCTTTTCGGTATTATCTTTTTCCAGTATCATAGATTTTTTTATAAAAAAAAAAAAAAATTATATTATTTTTTCATGAAAAAAATGTTTATAGACAATAGCGGTTTTACCGGGGATCCAGAAATTGATATAGACAATTACTGAAACTGGATCTGCTCTCAACATGAATAAGTGTCCCAACAAGGCCCTGCATTTGCAGTCTGCACACAGGGAACATCTTCCCACGAATGACAAGGGAGATCTTCCCGTTCCTGATGTGTAACTATAATCACTTGTTGCCTTGTTGGGAGCAGATCCGAACTCATAGCTACAGGAAGATTTAGACTAAGAAAGGAAGGGCAGCTAGGGGGTGGTCATTGTCGGTCCAACCTAGCCTAGAAATTTTCAAGCTTGGGCCAAGGTTTTTGTGTTTTAGGCCCGGGTTAGCTAAATTTTGGGGCCAAGCCTGGCCCAACACTTAAAGCTTGGCCCGATGAAACCCATGATAATATTATAATATTATATATGTAATAATATATGTGTGTGTCTATGATATAAGCATAATATAATTAATTATGTTATAAAATCTAATTATATGTCATGAGTTTTACCAAAAAAAATATAATTATATTATAAAATATTATGTTTATTATGATATATTTATTTATTTAATATTATATGTATTATATGTCATAAGTTGATTAATAATTCACTTTTGTTGATCCTCAACCTAACCCAACCCCTTATGTTGCACCCCTAAGAGCAATGTGAAATTTGTAATTAAACTGGATCAAATTTAAGAACAACCCATGCATATATTATTTTTGGGTTTTTAATTATTTTTAAATAAAAACTATTAATATTAAACCCGAATGAGCTATGGGGGTTAAGCTACCCCCATTGTGTAGCATAATGAACCAAAAACATAAAAGATCTCAAGCCAGGTTTTATAGTGTAATAACAATTTTATAGGTTGCGTAGCCCAACCCTACCTACACCCTAAGCATAATAATATTTGTTTGGACTTGGGATAGGAACATGCTCGCCCATGTTGTTTATAAACCCATGGCAACGGGATAGGGATCATACTCCCTGTCCTCGGTTCTGACTTTGAAACAAATCCCCATCTTTGACCCCGATCCTAGCTAGGGATAAATATGACCCCCCATCTTTGATTCCTAACGGAGACAGGTTCTTTGTTGGGAACCTAAAACCTTAGAATTTATAAATTAAAATTATTTTCATAAATATATTTAAATTAAAATTTTGAAATATATATATATATATATATAATTGGGGTTAGGACAGGGCAAGGAATTCACTCCCCCATCTTCATCCCTATCCTTGGTTAGTTACGTAGTACGTATCACTATCAATTGCTATCCCTACCAAAGCAATCTCCATCTCCGATCTAATGCTGAGTACCCAATAGGATGGGGAACATTTCCACCCCTATTCATATTCAAATCTTATTAATTGGTTAATTGTCAAAAAAAACTATAATTTGAAACCTGATAACTGAAATTAATAAAAGCCCAACCTGAATTCTTAAAAATATTGTTAATTAATAAACTCAGTATTTTAATAGATACTTTTAATTAATTAGTAATACTATAATTATTAAGAATATTGTATTATTTAAAAGTACAGTTAATACTGTTAATTAATAAAATACTGTAATTATTTAATTACTTTTATATAATAAATATTGTAATTGTTAATACTAGTTTTAATAAATTATAACATACATCATATTAATTAATAAATATATTTTTAATATTGTTTTTGAATAAATACTGATAATTATTTAAAAATACTACAACTAATACTGTTAATTAATAAATACTATAATTGTTAATACTATTTTTTAATAAATTATAACTTACATTATAATAAATACATTATTTAATATGGTTTTTGAATAAATACTGTTAATTATTTAAAAATGCTATGATTATTAAAAATACTATTAATTAATAAATACATTATTTTTCATAAATATGGTTAATATTGTTAATTAATAAAAATACTGTTAATTTTTTAAAATGTTGTAATTATTATTACAACTCCCTCTCTCTCTCTCTCTCTCTCTCTCTCGCTCTCTCTCTCTCTCTTAAATGTAATAATAACATGCATTAAAATAAGAGGTCTTGGAAAACCCAAATGTCTCTCTCTTTCTCTCTCTCTCTCTAATAGTGTGCAATTTTATTAATCTAGTCAAAATAGGTAATGATTACAATATTAATATAGTGCTATTAATAATTACAATATTTTAATTAATTTATATTATTTATTAAAAATAATGTATTCTTTTATTAACAATATTTTTAATAAACCAATATATAAAGTTAAGTTATATCCATAATTAAATTAATATATAGATTATCTTTTTTAGTTATAATTAAATTAATCTAAGCTCGAGCTCTGGGCTTTATTAATTTTAGTTATTAGGTTTCAAATTATAGTTTTCTGACAATTAACCAATTAATAAAATTTGAATATGAATAGGGATGGCAATGTCCCCCGTCCTATTGGGTACTCAACATTGGATCGGGATGGATATTGCCTTATTAGGGACAACAATTGATAGTGATACCCAACCAAGGATAGGGATGAAGATGGGGGAGTGAATTCCTCACCTTGTCCTAACCCTAATTATATATATATATATATATATAATTTTATTTATGATATTTTTTATATCATAATATATTTAAAATATTTTTATATTTTAAAAAATTTCCATTATTTTAAGTAAATATATTTTATGAAGATAATTTTAATTTAAAAATTTTGAAGATTTAGGTTCCCAGCAAAGAATCTATCTCCGTTAGCAATCGGGGATGGAGGGTCATATTTATCATTGGCAGGGATTGGGGTCAAGGACGGTGATTTGTTTTAAAGTTGGGATTGAGGACGGGGAGTACAGTCCCCACCCCATTGCCATAGTTTTATAATTATGGGCAACCATGTTCCTATCTATAAAATTGTTAATACACTATTAAAATCTAGCTTGAGATCTTTTATGTTTTTGGTTCATTATGCTACACAATGGGGAGGGGGGGAGCCCAACCCCCATAGCTCATTCAGGTTCAATATTAATAATTTTTATTTAAAAATAGTTAAAAAGCCAAAAATAATGCATGTATGGCTTATGCTTAGATTTAATTCAAACATTTTTTTTTTGAAAAGTAATTACAAATTTTTACATTGCTCTTAGGGGTGGAACTTAAGGGGTTGTCAAGTTGAGAGTCAACCAAAGCCTAACCTAAAGTCTTAAACCTTGGGCTTGGGCTTGGACTTAAAATTAATTTAATTATGAGCAACGAATTAATCTATGGATTAATTTAATTATAATATTTAATTATTAATGAAGTAAAATAAATAAAATAGAATACTAATGGATAATATGAAAAAACAATTATTTATTAAATAATTAGCTGTAATTTATTATTTTTATTAAAAATTATTAATATAATTAATCTAAATTACTAAATTATTTTTTATAACAAATTACTAAAATAAAGAATATTAAAATTATTAATATAATTATATTTACTTGATAAATCCCGTGCGGTCCTACCTTCAGTTTTGTTCTCACCCCTCCTCGTATCTATCGTAATATTTGCCGAAGGCCCGTAGTGTCCTGCAACAAACCGCAGCACAATGTCGCTAGAATCCACCGTATTGGCTTAGAACTTCTGTGAAGCTATATAAGGCATTAATATTTCTCTGGCGTTGTACAAAGCCACATTTCGTTCTTCAATTATGGCTGAGAAGGAGTTGTATTTCCGGCCTTCCGCCTCATCTTCGATCTCCTTTTTCTTATACGGGACGAAACGACCTGTAGAAAGAAAAGGTAATTCTTCAATATAAGTGGAAGAATACAGGCACAGAAAACAGAGAGGCCGACAGAGAGGGAGACCTTCTCTTCATTCTCGTGTTGTTTGGGTGGTCGTGATCTCTTCTTTGAGGCGGTGGAGTCATATGCAAAGAGCGACTGCTGATGCTGATGTCTGCTTCTCTCTGCCATTGATGGGGGTTCGGTTGCATGAAAGAAAGGAGTTAATACTTAATACACTCGACTGGAAAAAGATTCAGACTTCAGAGACAGGTGAGGGACCGAGGGAGTACATCTGACTTTACACATATCTTACCTCGCACGAGTCTCCGGATCACACATGTTCTGGACATGTGTCTCGTTGTGGTTGGTGCACCAGCATTTGTTGCAAATTTTACAGCCTAATCTTCTAAGTTCTAATGAAGGATCGTGCCCTTCGATTTTAGACAGATTACTGAATTAACATTGGGTCCACTACCCTTACCAAGTACCAGGAATTAGTCTATTGCAAGGCTACTGGAAGACTGCGGGAGCTGAGCTGCTTGGACACAAGGTCTCCCCTCACTATCTCAACATGCTTTGATTTAATTTGGATCTATCTTTCATGATCTCCTATGGATTCTCTGCTCTGAAATGTTTATTCCTGTAATTGGTTTCATTGGCTGGGTTTACTGGAAAACTTTGGTGCAGTTCTTTAAACTCACTTTTCCATCTGTTTATGATTGAACCCAGAAAAAAATTTGCAAGCATGGCCTTAGTCTGCATGCTAGATCCCTTTAACCAATATATCCCTCGTTATAGGAATATCCATTTGTTACATGTCACTCCTTTGCAACCATAACCTGATCTTTGGGTGTTCCTAATCTCCTACTTTTCCCCCTTCGCCCTGTAGAATATGTATTCAGACGTGCATAATATTAGGCTGCGTCTTGGTTGTAAGATTCTAACTAATGAAGCACAGAAAATGAGGTTAGAGATGCTAAAAAACTGGTGGTATTGATTTCTAATAGTTTTAGATTGTAATTTCATGAAATATAATCTTAAAATGTTATAATATTTTTTGCCCAGAAGAAAGAATATATCCAAGAAGACAGCTTCCGATCCTAGAAATTAATAGGCTTAGTGGAAATTCTTCTGGAGGTAAACGTAGGAGATTTTTCCTATCATTGCCAAAGGTTCAAGTTGTGCATGGAGCACTGGTAAAACTCAGATGTAACAATAACACTAGAAAGAGTATGAACAAGGCCAAGGTTAGTTTCCAAAACTTGTGGTGATGGTGGCACCTTAGTAAATACGAAAGGACATGATTGCAGGTATCATCAACTACTCCATCAATTGCCCAGATTAACCTTTGCCATACTGATTACCTTGCAGCACCATCAGTATTAATCTTAACCCGATTAGCAAGTACATTGAGGAAACCCTCATATGGAAGAGATGCGAGGAGGCTCCAAAAGTAGATGATGGATTGAATTGAAGAAAATCTGTTGTTGTAGCATGTGTCAGACTCAAATTTTCTTAGGAGGCATTTAACCATAAACCACAACAGGTAAGAATGCAAATTGAACATCCCATAGAAAAGAAATGAAGTAAGAGTGCCTATATGGGGATTTTGTTTGTTAAAGCTCAGTCATCGAGGGTCATGTGAAGCCATGTTTAAGGGCTCAGAGATAGCCTCAAGATGAGCACAAGGGGTCCTGACATATTTCTATAGGCAGGGGGCATTCAAGGAATAAATGTGAAACAACTTCAATATCAGATTGGCATAGTGAGGACTCTTTGATGCCGAACAGCTTAGCCTTTCAAGTTTTTGGCAAGCTCAGGCCCTTTAATCTTGCTCTGAAGCTAAGATTCCAGGAGGTGTGTATAAATTCAATGGTATGAGAAACATGGGTAAAATTATTCATTTCTTAAAATCCAAAAAAATGTGGCTTTGAGTATCCCATTCAGTATGTTGATGGCTAATCCCATGCTTCTATTTTTCACTTGTTACTTTTAAGTTATATATATAATACATATATCATGTCAGATTCATGAAGCTTTTTATATTGAAAATGCCTATTATAGTGAGATTTGTTAAAATATGCTGCCTACAAATTTTAACATGCTTTTCTTCTAGTAGCAGAGAACTACTAGAAAATAGCAAAGAGAAAAGAATAAACCACTTATTTCTCCAACACTGTTTTTAGGAGGAGAAAATAACAATTGTAGAGAAAAGCAAAAATTAACTCATTGAATTCTCATTTAATGCTGCTATTCCGGACAGATTTACAAGTTGCAGTTATTCCATTGGCAATGAGTGGCTCTAGACTGATTCCCTCTTGAAGAGTAATGGTTTTGGAAAATTCATGTCTTATATTTTTTTAGTAATTATCACTTATTTTATTGATATGGCTGCTGGCACTGTACTGTATGATCATTGGTATTCTTGTCATTTTCTCATGGTTGATATATACATGGGATGGTGGTTGACACCTCACACTCTTTTGCTTTCTCAAACTTTTATCTTCTATTCTCTTTCTTCTTTTTTACTTTTTTTTTTCTCCTATTTGATCACTAAATGCTAAATATAATCTAGAACAAAAACAAGTTGGTATCAAGGCAGGTTTCTCTTCTTTGACTTTCTTCAAGGAACCTCATGCAGGTGTAGGATCAGTAATCTACATGGGTGATTAATGGGGTTGATCTATTTCTTGCCTTGGACCTCGTTTTCAAAGACTTTTGGAGAACCAATTGTAAGTTGATTGGTGTTCAAGAAGATCTTTATAGGTTTACCAAATCAATAAACCTAGAACATTCTTACCGTGTAATGCCGTACTTAGGGCTGAATCCTAAGTACAAAATTACGCAGAGAATTCTTACCGTGTAATCTTAGGCCTATTCTATTGTTTATGTTGTATCCAGGCCCAAGGGTTCACAGACCTAGAGTAAGGGTAGCAGTGTGGAGGGTAAAGAGAAGGCAATGCGTGATTACTATAAGAAGCCTAAACATACTCATGAAACTTGTTCCTATTTGCTTTTGGTGTGATGTTATCTGTTCTGTAACAGGATTCCATCTTGGGTTTTTGGGTTAAGGCTCCATTTAGTATGTCAATCTCCAAAGGTGATATTGTTTACTATCCTTTGGTGTGTTTTTCACTGTACATGTTTTGTTCATGTTGGGTCTGCATGTGTCTAAGTTTGGTCATAAGCCAATCAAGTTTCATTTTATTTATTTATTTTTTTGGGGGGTTATGCATCTAATTAGAAGGGATATTATTTGTATGAACTTGTCATTTGGAGATGGTTTGTGTCTATGGATGTCATTTTCTTTGTGTTTACTCCATTTTTCTCTAGGATTTCATCACAAAGGGAGAGAGGTAGAATTGAGGGTGAATATATACTTCTTCATCTTCCAGTTCTAGCTCCAAAGTCAATTTCCCTTCTTAAGATAGTTCCATCTGCTTCTGACCACATCAGTGATAGCCCATGTAAGGAGTTACAGGTTTAGTAAAGGAAGAATAAGGCTATCTCTACACCTTGGCCACTCTGCATATCCTCCATAGGTACTAGTCGTGGCCATTCACCCCCTTTACCTATGTCTTATCTTGATCTTGCCATTGAATTCAGAAAAGATAACCGCCACTACTCTATAACCCACAGTATTTCTCACTATATTTCTTATGGCCATTTATCTCTTGGGTATTTACTTGCCTCTATTTCACTTGTTTGTTCCAAGGAATGTGATTGAAGCTATAGCACAAGCTAAGTTGAGGGAAGTTATACAAGTTGAGATGGAATTGAAGAATGATATATGGGACATTGTAGAGTTTCCTGAAGGGAAGACTTTTAGTACCTACAATATGGGTGAATAGAGATACAGGACAAGGATTGTCACGAAGGATCATACTTGGACTTATAGCAGACCATGAGGAAACTTTTTCCCCTGTGGAAACGATGAGTTCAGTTAGAATGTTGTTGACACTTTAATGAGAAGCTTATGTCAAAGGAGGAGTTGGTGGAATTAATAAAAATTAAAGTGGCTCATTAGATAAAAACCCTTGAGACATCTTCCAATGTTTTACTGCGACTGATATAAGAAGGGCTTGGAATGAGGTGGCACACTCTTTACAACAAAAGGAAAGAGAGATTATGGAATTGAAGCCACCAGCAAGGGATATGATAAAGTTCAATTTTGATGGGAGTTCAATGGGAAACCCAGGGATGGCAGGTATTGGTGGTGTGTTTAGAGACTCCTCAAGTAAGTGTTGGCTATGTACTCAGGACCCATAGGAGAAGGGGGCTCATAAAAAGATGAATGGTGGTGCTGATACAAGGCTTAAAACTTGCTTAAGCAATCCAATTTTAGAAACTTGGAAGTTGAAGGAGACTCAAAAGTGGTTATTTTATGGATCACTTCTAGTTACAACATACCTTGGGCTTACAGACATGCCTGAAGGGAGATAGACAGTCTGAAAGGGGATCTGAATGCTTCTTTTACTTGGATATGCAGGACGGACAATGGGATGACTGACACTTTAGCTAAGCAAGGGGTAGTGAGGCAGCAGTTATTCTGGGCTTTATTGTAAATTAGTTATATGGGGAGGTTAAGAGTGTGTAAGCTCAAGAAATCTTTATATGGGCCGAAACAATTTCCATTTGGATGGTTTGATCATTTTAGAAGTGCATTGCTAAAGGTCGGTTTTACTTAGCCCCAATCTGATAAGACATTGTTTGTTAAGCAGAAGGGAGAGTTGATTATCATTCCTATAGTCTATGTAGATGGTATTGTTTTCATTGTAATGATGCACAAGAGATTAGTAGTCTGAAGAAGTTTTTGGGGATAGAATTTGAGATCAAGGATCTTGGTGAGCTGAGATATTTTTTGGCCATAGAGGTAGCTCAATTTCTTCCAATGTTTTCAACTTGTCGTTGACCGACTGTTGAACCATTTAAACCGTCACCGACCAGGATTTTAGGTCCGGTTCAATCAAAACCCATCAGGTAGTCAAAAAATGTTGCTTGGTCAAGAATCATCCAACCTGGCTTGTTCAACCGTTGACCCGTTCGACCTGATCACCGGGCTGCGGGTTGCACACTCAATGCATGCAAACTTTTGAAGGCCATAACTTTGCACTCCGATGTCCGATTGGGGTGACTTTTTTTTCATTACTTTGGGTAACTTTTCGAGACCTATGTGTCCCAAGGGGCCATAGGCGCTATACCCCGCTATTTTTGTGAAAAAAAGCCTTTTTTGGCATCAAATTTCAATTTTTAATACTTTTATAAATAAAAAATAAAAATTGAATTAAAAAGCATAAATTAAATATTAAAATACATATAACATATCTAAAATATAATTATACATTATTTATTGATAAAATATATATTTATACACACACACACACATATATATATATATATACATATATATGTATATACACCTAAAATACATGTTGGACGGTCTGACCCATGACCCGAAGGCAAAAACGGTTTGGCCTCCGGGTTGGTTTTTAAAACATTGATTTCTTCCTCTTTCTCAATTCATATGTTTACCTAGGTTTGGTTTGGGTTGCTTTTGGATTTTGGAATCACTGAAACAAAGTAAAGTTGTTTTCAAGATATGTAGGGAAACCCATCATCTCCTTTCGTTGAATGATAGTTGGTGACTCATTTTTTTGGAGGCACACATCTAGTAACCCTATAAATGTTCAATAGGAGCCTCACCAACGTCACCTAGTCCCCCAAAGAATTTTTTATTGTACCACTGGCCCAAACTACTTTCTAAACTATTTCAAGAAGGCTTTTTTTTTATCAATCTATTTCAATAAGGCATCCTTGGCAAGATCTATCAATGCTAGATGTACCATCTTTTTAGGAGCATTGATCATCTAGTAATATCTCATTTTGTCTTTGCTTGATGTTGTAGGCAACTTTGGATGAATGTGAATTACTATTTAGAATAATCTTAGAAGTGGTTAAATTTCATTATGTAATTGGTTGGAATCTGCACAACAACGTTGAGGTTGTTGGTTTATTGGTTTAATCCCAACATAACCACAAAAGGGCTTTCTTTGGGTTACTGGAGAGTCAGGAATTGATCATCCAAAGGTGGAACCAAATGGACATGGACCACGTGGTGCATATCATTATGAAGCTTAGTGTCTGTTGATTTGAGCCTGTTTCATTTCAGCCACTTCCATTTGTTGTTGGATTTAGGATTGGGTGTTAAGTTGTTTTGTTGGTGTCTGTTCTCTAGGCCAAAAGTTAGGGGCCTTTGTGGCTGGAGTACCGGTTCTGTTTTTTTTTTTTCAATTTTTATCATGCCAGCTTCTTTTGTATAGGCTGGATGGAGAGGTTTATCTGGATTTTTCATACAGCTGCTTCCATATTCTCCCTTTCCTTTTGTATTCCTCTTCCATACTCTTTTTACTCTGTTTCATTAATATCTTTCTCCATTGTTAATAAAACTAGGGAAAATCTATGATACTGGAAAGACATGGTTCAGAAGAGTTTTCTGACCAATCAAAGCACCCCCATGAATTTTCATTAATACCACCTGATTGGTCACCTCTTTTATGATACCAGTTGATTGACTGTAAGCTTTTCCAGTGTCATGTCTTTTCGGTATCATGGTTGAACCCATAAAACTAATGCTTGAAACTGTCATTTATTGAGTTCGGTTTGAATCAGAAAATTTCCCACTAAATCTGCCATTTTTTTTTTGTGAAGTTTCTCTCACAAGAGACAATTTGAATTAAAATCATTATGTCATCAATGAAGAGACAAAGGTTTAGGAAAGAGAAGTCAAATGCATTCCCTTAGATCTGTATGAGCCTTCCAATGGTTCTCAAGGTAAGCTAATAATTAGATTCTTGCATATCCACGTGAACTTGACTCAATCCCATAGGTCTCATAGCCCAAACTTGCAGGCCCACACTCAAGATACCCATGACAGCTCATGAACTTGAGCCCATTCTAGCAGACTTGGCCAGCTCAAGTGGATCATATGGGAGATTCCTTAATCAAAGACTTGATTTGATATAAAATCAACCATAGTTTCAATAAAGATTAAGAAAACCTTACAGTTCACATATAAATAACATTGTGCACACTCTTTTTTTGTGAATTTAGAAAGTTGAACTGTTCTTACAATTTTTAGTTTGGTGCCCACTCCATTAGTCTTTTATGTTTTGTTTATAGTTAGTAGTATATCATGCTGTTATTGAATACTAATCTATTGACATTTCCGTCACTATTCTAATCTCTGCTATTCTTATTGATGTTTCTCTGCGTTTTTAAATAACTAACCTAGCTATTATTACCTCTCTTATTCTCACTTTTTGTCCCTTGTTTACTCAATTGTTTTTGTTAATTTGGTTTCCATAATCCTTGGAAAATGTTTCTACAGCTATCAATGGGTTGGGCAGACCTGACAGACCCAAACCAAACCAACCCAATTATTAGGGTCTGGATTTGCATTGGTCGGGATTGGTTTTGGTTGTTCCAAATTGATTAAAACCTGAACCAACTATATACATAATTGTATGTGTAATTATGTAATTTGCATCAGTGTTTTAAAAGGCATGGGAGGCGTACGCCTCCTCCAGGCAGGGTGTTCCCAAAACGCCCTGAGGCGTACGCCTCGTACACTTTTTTCATGAGGTGTGCTAGAGGCGTACGCCTCATGCGCCTTATGCACACCTCATATAAAAAGACAGAAAAAAAAAGAAAAAAGGAAAAAAGGAAAGGAAAGGAAAAGAAAAGAAAAGAAAGGGAAGGGAAAAAAAGAAAGAAAGAGAAGAAAAAAAAGAGAAGGAAAGAAAAGTGGTTAGCCCCCTTTCAACTAGTGTTATGCATCTTTATTCTTCTTAATATAAAAGATTTTTATTAAAAATAAAGAAAAAATGAGACCCCTCCCATCCTCTTCTTCCCCCTCCCCTTCCTCCCCCTTCTTCCTCCTGACCCCCCTCCTTTTAAGGAGGCTTACGTCTCCTTGTGCTCGGGAAGCTTACGCCTCCTTGTGCTCGGGAAGCTTACGCCTCTTACGTTCTAAATTACGCCTCACGCCTCTAGGTAGTGAAACGCCTCACGTCATGCCTCCGTGTTTTAAAACATTGATTGGCATAAACATACCTATTTTTCTCATGATATACCTGTAATATTATCATATTATGATGTCTAAACTAAATGGGTCAATTTAGCAAATAAGTAGGTTTCTTGTTAAATTACACATTAGAAGTGTAGCTTTCAATCATAATTGGGTCTTACCAGGTTAGGTCCAGTAGTCCTGATTACAGAGGAGCTAGTTTGGAACTGGTTCACGTTCTGCACATTTATTTATTGGGTCGGCACCAATGTTTAGATAACTGGACTAGGCATAGAACCGGAAAAGAGAGAAGTTCATGGGTTAAAGGTTCAACCTGGTCAAACCAGAGGTTGAACCGTTATGACGTGGCATATACATATATATGCTATGGGTTATATAAATACTGTATATAATATACTTTACAACTTTTATCATACTTAAATATGGTGGATGGATGGCAAATTTCTTAATTTTTAAAGCAAATGATCAGGGTTCAAGTCTCTTAATTTACATTTTCTTTAAAATGTGTGTAATAAAGTAATATACAATAGAGTCATTAATTAACACAAATAAAGAGGTGGACTAGTGGTAATTAAGCAATACATGAGAATAAGAGGTCATCCAAATCTCGTCACACATGTTTTAAAATTTCAATTATTTAATGACCTGGGCAGTTTCATGAAATTGGGACTGATTCATCGTTTTCTGGTTAAACTGTCTGGTCATCCGGTTTTCACCAGGTTTTAGCAATTACGGTTCTTGGAGTGTGACCAAACCAGTCCAACTGGCTGGTCTGGTCTGGTTTCCTAAGCACTGGTCAGGACTGGGTCTACCCTGACCAGGAGCAGACTTGACCTGGTCTTCCCAATCCAATATATCTTCCTTTATTTCAACATCACTTTTGGTCTTTTAGACTGATTTGATTATAGCCAGCTATTGTAGCACTTTCAGCCTTGTAACCCCATTGTAAACCTAACCAACAGTACTTGTTTTCGCTTAGATATTTGGTGAAACCTTATTTTGTGTTTCTATTGAAGTTTTCGGCTACGTATCTATTGGTTCTGCACCAGTCATTCCCTAAGACAAATTAATCACCATTGTCTCTGCAATTGTAAATTCAGTTGACAACAGCTTATATTGTTGATAGCTTGCTTCCATTGAAACTGCACGTCTTTGTGCAAGCATTTTTGGAGAACTTGGTTTTTCTAGAATGAATTTGGAGACAGTAATGCATAATGGGGATGCTATTTGCAAACATGTCAGATGGAGAGTCCAAACTCCAAATAGCGTGGTTGCTTGGAAGTGCAACTGCTCTGATTGTGCCATGAGAGGCAATGTTCACTTTATCGTTCCTGCATTAAGGTTTGAGTTGTTAGGAGAGTCCAAAAAATTCCTCACCACATATACCTTTGGCGCACACACGGTGAAGCACATTTTCTGCAAGGTCTGGCATAACATCATTCTATGTACCATGGACAAATCCAGATGGCATTGCAGTGACAGTCAAATGTGTAGATCCTGAGATACTGTTCCATGTTGAGATAAGGCAATTTGATGGGGTAAACTGGGAGAGGTCCTATAACCAGACATCCATTGCATCATTTTCTATACTGGAGATGAAATGCCAAATGAATCCCCACTAAAAGGCATGCAAATTAGTTAGATAGAAGTGCTAAACTGATTGGGAGGTGCGTATGTTTGTTCCTGTACTGAAAAGTGTTCGCTGAAATGGTGAAGTAGAAGAGCAAGAAGAGATGAGAAGAGAAGAGAAGAGAAGAGACTAAAACATAAAATGTCAAATAGGCCCACTAACAGTTAATCACTCAACACAACAAAAAGGATGATAGATTTTTGTATCTTAACTGGTGTTTGAGCTACAATCACAAACGTAATTGTTGAAATGAAAAACAAAGTAACTCACTCCCAAGTGTGGTTGGAAAATCATCTATGAAGTGTGAATTAGTAGTAGTGATAGTGTGATATGAGTAGTCAAGCTTAAAAGTTTTGTTGGCAAATCCTTTTCTTTTTGTAGAAAAATGTGTAATCTTAATCATTATGAACTTAACTTGAAAATTTGTTTCTTATTAATAAATGACTATTATTGAAGTTTGGTTCCTTTTGTTTTGGTTTTCCAGCAACTTTGGAAGAAAAGCTTAGTTATAAGGAAGCATTTTTCTTACTGTACAAGTCTTATATGTTGTAGTTACAAGGAAGCACTCTGATTACCTCCCCTTGAATGGCAACAGACAAGTGCGTAAGTCTTATACATTGTACTAACAAGAATTAGAGAACATTTAGGAATGCCAATGCCAGTGGATCGGGTCTGGTTAGGGACAAGGTGGACCAGTTCCGAGCTGATTATTAATTGGTTCTATAAAGTAGTTCCAGAGCCAAACCAATTATTAATTAGCATAATTGGGTTTGCTTGACAATTGACATCTATAATTACATATGATAGTAACAATTTAGAACTTCATTTTTGATAATTTAACCTTAATGATAATGAAAGTAAATAGAAACTGTATATGTTGATAAAGCTTGTGTTTTTTAATCAAAATTATCTTATATAATGTATACGAAATTTACCTTTCAGACATACAATATACTAAAACTCACAAGAAAACCAGGAGCTATTATATACTATTAACTATATAATTGGTTCAGGTTTTAATTGGTTTGGAAACAGCAAGAACTGGTCTCCACCCAATTATAATTGGGACACAAAAGAACATTTTAGACTTGCTATATTCCCCTAACTTTCAACACATCTCTGGCTACTTGTAATCTGCAAAATTTTCAGAGCATCATACATCATATGACTGGGTGACCTGAATGGGAAAGAAAGAACAAAAAATTGATCTGTTTGTACTAGTGAGGCTGTGTTCCCATGTAAAATAGATAATTAAAATATTTCAGAGTGAAAGTTTTTCCTTGCTTTTCCAGGGGTATTGGCCTTTAAGGTGGGTAGAGGGGACAGATTGAGTTTCTGGGAAGACTCTTGGTGTGCTGAGCTCCCCCTAACTGAGTTGTTCCCTCAACCTTTTCAGTGCTCAGAGAACCAAGATGCCTTAGTTGCTCACTGTCTTAAGCTCCTGGGCAGTAATGCCATCTGGGATCCACATTTCAGGAGTTTTCAAGATTGGGAAATGGATGGGGTGTTGGGAATGCTTCAGCTGCTCAAGGAATAGGCTGTAGATACCAGCCAGGAGGATGAATGAAGGTGGAAGTGCAATGGGGATGGTCTCTTTTCTGTAAAATCCATGTCATCCAGACTGAATGACAGCAATGGTGTTTGTCTTCCCCTTGAGCAGATCTGAAACCCAGTCAGTCTGTCCAAGATCATCTTCTTAGTCTGGGCTATGGTGTTGGACAAATGTCTGGCGAAGGAGAATGTGTCTAGGAGGGGTATGCAGATCCAGGATACGAACTGTGGCTTATGTGGGCAGGAATTGGAGACTGTTGACCACCTGAGTATTCACTGTATGGCCTCTTCTCAAATCTGGGGGCACTTGATCGAAACCATAGGGATCTATTGGGTCATGCCACGTTCAGTATAGCTACTTCAGTGTTGGAGCTTGCTGGTCCTGAACAAGAAGGGGAAGTGTGTACCCATCCATCCCTGCTGCTGTGTTAGGGACTGTATGGGCTGAGAGAAACAGGAAAGTTCAGTAAAAGAGCTACTTTGGTGGTGGCTTGGGTCTCTGTTGCTAAATAGTTTAAAGCTTTAAGCAGCAGAATGTCTCTCTATTGCTTAGCTCAAAAAGTTTGGTATTTGTAATCGGTTGTACCATGCTTCTTGTTAAAATTTTTTCTTATCGTCTCTCAAAAAAAAATCAGAATGAATTCCAGGTTTCAACCAATTTCAGAATGAAAATTTTCCATCTCATATTACATTGAAACAATCAATAGAAACTTAACAGAAAATTTTACATGTATCTGCCGAAAAGTGACTTATTGGCCGTTTGAAAATGACTGAAGTAACTGAACTGAATTCTTGTTATATTATCATATAATGATGTCAAAATGGGTCAATTTAGCAAATATGTAGGTTTATTGTCAAATTACAGGTTAAAAGCATAGCTGTCAAAATGGGTCAATTTAACAAAGGATCTGGTGCAGAATTGGTTCTGCACATTTACTTATTGGGTCGAGACCAAGTCTACCCTGACCAGGACCAGACCTGACTAAATGTATTTGCACTTGCTTTTCTTGATTTTTGATATACTTTCTTTCCAACTACATTTGTTCAGTAAACTTGTTCTTCATTTTTAACCAGCAAGCTGAGGACCTTGTGATCTCTTAACTCCTTCCAGCTTGATGTTGGTCCTTCCCAATCCAACTTATCTTCCTTTATTTCAACATCACTTTTGGTCCTTAGACTGATTTGATTACAGGCAACTATTCTAGCATTTTCAGCCTTATAACCCTATCTTAACCTAACCAACAGCACTTGCTTTCCCGTAGATATTCATAGAAACCTTATCTTTGGATTCTAATGACGTTTTCAGCCTCTTTGCTGGTGGTTCTGCATCAGTCATTCCCTAATACAAATTGAACCACCATCTTCTCTGTGATTACGAATTCAATTGACAACAGCTCATATATGTTGACAGCTCGCTGCAAGTGAAACTGCCCATCTTTGTGCAAGCATCTTGGGAGAACTTGTTAATTTTTCTAGAATGAATTTGGAGACAGTAGTGCATAATGGGGGATGCCATTGCAAACAAGTCAGATGGAGAGTCCAAGCTCCAAGTAGTGTGGTTGCTTGGAAGTGCAACTGCTCCGATTGTGCCATGAGAGGCAATGTTCACTTTGTAGTTCCTGCATCAAGGTTTGAGTTGTTGGGAGAGTCCGAAAAATTCCTCATCACATATACCTTTGGCACACACACGGCGAAGCACATTTTCTGCAACGTCTGTGGCATAACATCATTCTATGTACCACGGTCAAATCCAGATGGCATTGCGGTGACAGTCAAATGTGTAGACCCTGGGACACTGTCTCATGTTGAGATAAGGCAATTTGATGGGGTAAACTGGGAGACGTCCTATAACCAGACATCCATTGCATCATGCTCTAAGCTGGAGACTGAAGCCAAATGAATCTCCACTAGAAGACATGCAAATTGGTTAGAAAAGTGTCAAACTGATCGGGAGGTACCTATCTTTGTTCCTGTTCTGAAAAGGATTATACCTTCTTAACTGGTGTTTGAGCTACAAGCACAAATGTATTTATTGAAATGAAAAACGAAACCGATTCACCCCAAGCATATTGGAGAATCACCTCTGGAGTGGGGGTTGGCAGTCATAATGTTATGTGAGTAGTCAAGCTTAAAGATTTTGTTGCAAATCCTTCTCTTTTTGTAGAAAAAATGTGTGACCTTAAACATTATGAACTTGACATGAAACTCTGTTTCTTAATAAACGACTACTGTTGAATTTTGATTCCTCTTATTTTGGTTTTCAGCGACTTTGGTAGAAAAATTTGTAATTGTAAGCAAGGTTCAAAGTATCGATAGATATCACACCGTATTATCATATGATATGCATCAGTTTTCATGACCCATTTGTGATTGCATGGTTCAAAGGTTGAAAACTGAAACTAGGGAGGCAACTTGAGCTGGCCTAACTTACCATTTTACACTGCTTGGGGCCAGGGCCTTCCGGCTGGGCTCATTCAATGTATTTTTGGTATTTGGTGATTTGCCCAAATCCCCCGTAGGGGTGCAAATGCATCAGATCATGATCCGATCCTATATTCTTGGATTCGGATAGTCCCATTTTGGATATTTGAATCGGTATCTGATAAAAAATTGAACCAAATTTGGATCACCCCTATTCGATCCAATATATATGTTATTTATTTATATAAATATAAAATTCCAGCTACCTCAGATATATAGAGGCAATCTTCTAAGCTACCCAGATACCAATTCTGGCTGTGATCCAAACAGACCATAACTCCTTAAGATTTTGAAAGCCAAATAAGAAGGTTATGTTGCTATACCACCACTCCAAGGGCCCATTTGGAGGGTTTTTGTGTGGAATGAGCATTGAGTGTTTGACAACATGGTTGGTTTTGTTTTGGAAAACAAAAACAACTGTCACATCAACAAAATTGTATTGGTTTTACTGATATTGCAGTTGTTTTTGTTTTCAAAAACAAAACCAATCATGTTATCAAGCACCCCTTAGTTTCTAGTGATAACTGGAATAGACAGATCAAAAGCAATCAGAGTATAAAAATGTAGCTAATAGGAAAGGTACGTCATTGCAAAGACCTTTAAATTCATTTGAGGCATTGCTGACATATTAAAAGAATTTGATCTCATCACTCTGAAATGTACCACTGGTAAGCACTTACACAAACTTTGATAACAACAGAAGTGACTCCTTTATCAACACAGAAATATGTTCCTGATTTAATTTCCTCGTTATTTCTACAGATTTCTCAGAGGGCTCCACTGCAAAAATAAACAAAACATCACGTTGCAACATACATATTTACGCAATAACTAAAATTTGATTTCAGATTAAAAAAGGAAAAAGTTGCAATGTGACAAAAAAGCTTAGACAGTCTTCCATGTGTCAAAACTATATAAGATCATAACATATTGTTTGATTTACAGAAATTTTACCCACTAGGCAACTTTGACATGACCTATTCTTCCCCCTGAGCTTAAGGTGTAGAGCAAGCCTCGGAAATAAGCGATGTTTCCTTTTCCAGTTTCAAGGACCATCATATATACAAGTTTCCAAAGTTTTCTTCATTGAAGGTCCCTTGCGATTAATCTTTGGGAAAGATATCAATTTCTTCTCCTTGTTTGTTTAGATAACCCAACAAGGCCATAACCTTTAGTTAAAAAGAGCCTTAGTGTTTCTTCCAAAACACTCATTGTAAATCCTATATCTTCCACCTTAATAATACTACACAGCGTTCAAAACAAGGAACTATTGCATTTTCTTCCAAACCAGCGCCAATTAATGTGTTCTAGAGAAAAACAGGTGAACTATTGCATTTTCCTCTAACAACACGTTTTCCTGCTCGATTTGGTTGAGAGAAATTGACGCAGGTGAAGCAATGAGTGGTTTGAACCAATAAAAGAAAAAAAAAATCAGAGTAAGATGAAAAAGATATGTAAAGCAGAGAAATCCTCGATCGGTTCTTTACCTTTCGCTAGGATTACATGGCGGAAACGATTTCTTGGTTTTGTGAAGCTCGGCGTGCCAGGGCTGTAAAGAGACGCTTGAAGATTCATGGCGACTTCAACCACAACTACCCACTCTGTCTCGTTTCTCTGTGACTCCTTCGCTCTCCGGCTCTCCGGGCCTGAAATTAAGAGGGAAACCAACCAAGAAGATTATTAAGGACACGTGCGCCACTCGTTTTCTGGGCTAGCAACTCGCCCAACGCCCACCGGCTTACCCAATGCCGAGCCGTCCGTATCTGCTGCACACTGATTTTGTGTAGAGAGTGCTGTATATTCAATCAGAACCAGACAACCGGACAAGAAGTTGTGTGCAACAAATCCAAATTTAATGAGAAACTTGTTTAAATTCCTCTTAATTTTGTATCAAATTAAGAGTTTATTTAGGCAATATTGTCTTTCAACAATTTTGTTATCAAGTATAAAACTCTCCCATAACCTCCTTGGAATATAATAGTAATATTCTATAACATATGTTTAATAATATATGTATTTAATTTATAATATATATTGATTATGCAAGTTATGCATAAAATACTATTTAGACTGAAATTCCAATAGGAAGCACTACATGTGTTATTTGAAAAAAAGAAAAGTAAATGATTTCCAACAAGATTAGGATCAAGAGAAAAAAATTTGAAGGAATGCCATTTTCCTATAACTATTTTTCAGTTTTTTTGATACATTTACTTGGCATACAGTTTAAATGCCAAAAAATAAGGATCAGATTTGATTTATTTGTATCAAATTCGAATTGGAGTTGGATCTTATGCATTGGATTTATGTTGAATTTGAATCAAATTTGAATTGATATTCTATATTGAATAGTATAAATAAACCAAACTAAAAATAATCAAAATATTATATATATATATATATATATATAGTATTAATACAATGAACCAAAAATGACTTTAATATTATATTTTATTAACAAAATTAACTGAAAATCACTTTGTATGAAATCTGAACCTAAGAAATGTAGGTTGTTTTTGGTATCATCGCCATTTTTATGGGTAAGGTTTTATGTTGACCAATACAAATTTTATGAGAATATATATATATATATATATATATATATTCATCACAAATGTTTTGAGAGTTATCAATACAACATTGGCTGCTTATTGATTAATACAAAATGTTATAAGTAGAAGTGACAATAATATCGAACACAACCTTAACAAAAACACATCATTCAAATCGACTTTTCTAATAGATACAATATAAAATATATGTATATAGAATTGGATCGAATCAAATTGAACCATAATGGATTGGATCAAAGTAGATCTATATTTTGGATCCAGTTGTAAATGGATTGGATATCATCCTTAGTTAGATGAATTTGAACTCCAACAATTGAATTAGCTGCAAAGCCCAGCCAATGTGGGGTCAAATCTCAAATGTTCTTGAGGACGGCTAAAGGACAATGAGTTGTGTAACGGTGTCTCATCTGTGGCTAATCAATTGAATCATCTATGACATTAGCTACTGTGAAGTGTGAACTCAACATCAATCAAAAGAGGTAAAAGATTGGTCAAAGCTCTTCCACTCTAAACCCATGGTAATGTGTCATGCACATAAATCACCAAAACAGTACTACAGGCTGCTCCAATTAACATTTTTTTTTTAAAAAGGTGGACTAAAACATCCTCATGTTCTTAATAAAACCAACTTGTGGTACAAGAAGTATATTTCCCAAGCTGGTAGAGAATTCCTTATCAAATCTGTGTGTATTGAGAACATCTCCCCATGCTATTAATGACAAGGAAGATATTACTACAACTATAATATTCTCCAGATAGGAATGTGGGAACAATTTATAGATAGCAGATCCGAGTCCAATTTAGATGGGGTCATTGGTATTCACTATTGAGGGACCTACATTGTTTTAATCTTACTTTGTTGGCCAAACTTGCTTCGAGGCTGACCACTAATGAAGATGGCCTGTGGATTAGGGTTATCAAAGGTATATTAAAAACATGAATTTTCTTAGAGATCTCCCTTCTAGAGGGCCATGTGGGCCATTGAAATTATGAGTCCTATACTAGATCCCAATCATCCTCAATTGATCAATGAGTTAATTGACCATGCATGGTAGCAGGTATTGGTAAGCAAGGTAGAAGACAATGAATAGTGTCTTCTTTTGAAGGGTAATCTTGACATTTTCAACAAATAATTGACAATCAGTTAACGGCAAGGACCAACTTGACACTTTTTGAAAATTTATGTACTGCAATGATACATTTGAAAGCTTGGGTACTAACTTGACACTACCCCCCAAAGTTTAGGGTACTAAAGTGAAATTTTCCCTTTCTATTGTTTAGCTTTTACTTAACAAATCTCGTGCATCACACAGGTCCCCACTAGCATATATTAAAACAAGGAAGTCTAGAAATTTTTTCCTTCTTTTTGAATTTTTTAACTTTTTTAACCCATATCATTTTTTAAACTACCAATTACAAACTCTAATTTCTCCAAAAAATCTTTCTAAAATCTCTCTCTCTCTCTCTCTCCCCCCACACGTTCCAATAACCTAAATAATCTAATATCCTAAAGTTTCTCTTAAACAATCTCCTCCACTATCCCCAACTTTCTCCTAAGTTATTTCTAATTTAGTAGAGAGTTTCTCTTCTAAATTATCTCTAATTTTTATTTATCTTCTCCCCCACTTTTTATCTATATCTATCTAAAGAAAGTTTGAATTAAAAAATTTAAGAATTATTTAAATATTCTAACAAAATTATATAATAACTTTAAAATATTTATTAAAAAGATAAAAAATAAATATAATCGATTTAATAATATTCATATTATTAGAAAATTATATATTTTTACAAAATTCACCACGAAATTATGTATAAAAAATATAAATTATGATTTTCTGGATTATTCAATCTAAATGTTATTCAAATAATAAAGATCTAACATAAAAAAATGAAATACTATTTAAATATTTCAATAACTAAATATCTTAAGTAACAAAATATTAAATTTAATATTTTAAAACAATTGATAATATATTTTAAATAGTTATTGAATAACTTTCAATTATAATAAATAGGTTGAGATTTTAAATATTTAGTTAAATAACTAAATATTTTAGCAAATGAAATATTTGACATAGCTAGATTTTAAATAGTTAAAATAACATAATTATGTATTAATAGTACTAAAATTTTATGGATTATTAAATTCAATAAGTAATTAATATTTTAAAATTTAAATAATGATATTATTTCA